AAAAAAAAAAAGAAAAAAGCTTTACAATACAACAAGTAAAACAATGTATCTAACCCAAATTCCTTCAAAAGCCTTGTAAAAACGCTATTAGAAAATACACCAGATTCCATTATCTGCCTATTGGGTATCAAAATTGTTTGAATATTTAAATCCTTTCATGTTAGATAAAATAGTTTCTTCTTCCTTTGTGGATCATTTGCTTTATTGTGTGTTAAGCTCATAAACAACAAAAAATATCTGACGTTCACTCTCAAAGGCTACATGATATAAATATGTAGGTGACTCAAATGCAATTCCCCCAGGAATGAAGTGGCTGTGAAATTGAGTTTTTCTGCACTACGGGCCTTGAACAAGGTCATAGTAATGTGGACATAACTGAACCAGCCCCACTGGTGGAATTTCTAACTAAATTATGCACCTGCTGTACTCCACATACCAACCTCTTGACACTTTTCAGAAACCAAAGGACATACCTGAAAAGTCAGAGACATTTTAAAAGAGCCTATGTTACCTGATACTGAATCTTTCTAGAACTGTTCTAACGGGAGCTAGACAAATCTCTAAGTCAGATGGTTTCTGAGCCTCTGTTCTAGTTCTGTGTGTGGGAGTGGGCAGAGATCCTATTTGGATTTTGTTATTAATTTTTGGTTGCTGCATAATATTTGCCCCTGTGTGTGAGGTACAGTGTGCTGCTTTGATTCCTGTGGACACTGGGTGGGCAGTGATCAACTCTGGTGGATCAACACCATCACCTCAGACACTTGTCATTTCCCATGGTGAGCACCTCCAAGTTCCTCTGCCTCGAGACAGCCTCCACACACTCTGCTCCTCACATTCTAGGTTTGCAAGATCTGATGGAGATCTGCCCCCTTCATAGTTTTCCAGGACTGTCTTGCATCCAGGAGTTGATTATGGGGGCTGAGAGCTCACTGGCTGCCTGGATGTCCTCCCACTGGGGTCCTCCTGCCTCTTGACAGCTGAACACAAGAAAGACGGTTTACCTGTGCTCACTTGCAAATGCTCCCTGGGGACAGCACCTGCAGCCCTGTCTCAGCTGGCTTCCCTGGGTTGTATTCTTAAAGGACACAGCCCTTTTTTTTTCTGCTCATTCCCTGCCTCAGTACATTTTGCCCTTTTGCTTTTAAGTACTTTATTCCAGGTTCGGTTGTAATGAAAAGCAAAGAAGTGAACAGCGACAAGAGACAGTCTCAGGACAGCACCTGACAGTCAGCCTCCCTCTTCCTGACCTTGCTGTAGGGGACAGGAGTGCTCCAGCGCACAAGACTGAATCCATGTTTTATGTTCGGCACCAAGTTCAATGCCTTAATAAAGAAATGTGAAGGGAAGAAATGAAGCAGGATGGGAAATACCATGAAAGGAAAGCAAGAGAAAATAAGATCTAACTTCTCTGGAGCTGCGTTTGACCATGGGCTCCAGCTGGCCAGGCCCGGATGGCACAACCTGGTTCAGAAGCAGAGAGGGACCAGGTGCTGACTGCTCACCAAGATGCCCTTGGACCTTGCCCCATGCCTGGCACAAGGAGTGCTGATTAATAAGTGTTGAATCAGTAAGTAAGAGAAAGATGGCCAGCGTCAGGAGCTACACTTGCAAGGTAGAAACTCAGTCGTGAATTGGCTCTCCTGGGAACAGTGTGGTGTGTCCTGTCCCCTGACACAGTCGTTCCAGCTATTATGCCCACAATTGATTGTTCTCTCAAGGGCACAGCAGCCTTGTCTGGCTTTGTGTCTTTTTACTTTAATTTAAATTTGCTTTGTGTTTTGCCTCCGGAGCTAGAGCACATTTATAATGAAAGCAATAAACAGATGTCTCTCAACACAAAAGAGCTTTAATCTTTCACACAACTTTGATTTTATTTTACTGTTTAATACTCATCAGTAAATATTGGGAAATAAAGACTTCATCCCCAACAATCTAATTTTACTGGAAACTCTGCAGAGTTGAGACAGAGGACACACTGGCTTGACCAAACTCAAGGAGCCATTCAGCTGCCGTTTTAAATTTGTTCAATGGCCAGATGATCATCCAAACACTCAGAAAAGAAAAATGAATTGCAAAAGAAGCTTTTCAATTCATCCAAGTATAAAAGTTCACCAAGAAAAAGAAAGGTTCAACATTAACCTTGATGTGATCTTGCGGGCACTCATTGGCATCCCAAAGCCAGGGCATGAGGAAGGTTGGAAATATCCTCAATGCCTCTTTAGACCAGGAAGCATGTTCAGCTCCGTTGGCCAGTGGACTTGGCCTTCCCAAGCTGACATGCCTCCAGGGGCCAGAAGGATGTACCAATGAGTGAAGCATGCTGGGGAATTTCCTCGGGGACATTCTTTATAGATCATTAAACAAATAGTCATATTTTTCCATTTCTGAAGGAAAGGTGAGATTTCTCACTTTTATGGAAACACCTGGTGCTTTTGGTGTTGCTTTGGTTTATCAGTTTTCAATATAGCTAGAGAGGAAAAATATTTCATTTCCCTTGTAACTCTAAACCAGGGGAAATTTTAAAAAATGGCACAATGCATCATCCCAGCTACTGAGGAGGCTGAGGCAGAAGGATCCCTGGAGTCCAGGACTCAAGACAGCCTGGGAACTTGTCTTAAAACCAACAATGGCAACAACAAACAAAGAGAAGAAATAGGGTGATGAATGCAGTCCATAAGACCAAATTCAA